CGGGGCTTGCCGGTGGCAAGCCCCGCCCCCAGGAATCGGACCCCGCTCTTGCTAAGGCCGGCCCTGTAAGGGGGAGACATTTATGGCGGGGTGGGAGGTTGAGGCAAATCGCCTGGCCGCTGATTACGCGCAGCCAGACACCAGGGTGGTTAGAAGAGCACAGCAGGGTGTGCTGTGCATCAGAGAAGCTTTGAAAACCAGTTTCATAACTGGCCAGGCTACGTTGTGAAAGTTCTGTTTGTTTCTCCTTGATGAAAACCCGCCCCCTTCGTTCACTCTACTTCCCTGTAAGCCAACCGCCATCCCCTCCCCCCTTTTATCTCTGCTTGCAGAGGCAATAAAGTCATTGTTGTTTCAAATTCATGCATTCTTTATTAATTGGTCACACAAATGGGGGGATAACTGCCAACGTAGCCTGGGAGGGGTGGGGGAAGAGGGAAGCACAGGGGTGGGGCAGTTGTAGGGGCACCCCCTAGAATGGTATGCAGCTCATCATAGAAGCGGCATATCTGAGTTCTGACCCGGAGTGGCCGTTTGCATCTCTGGTTCTTTAGTAGGCTTCATGCGGCACTGCTGCGGGTCCCTGTTATAACCTCTGTCCTTCATGCCCTTGGAGATTTTTTCAAATATTCCGGCATTTCGTCTTTTGGAACGGAGTTCGGATAGCACGGATTCGTCTCTCCATACAGTGATCAGATGCAGTACCTCCCGTTCTGTCCATGCTGGAGCTCTTTTGCAATTCTGGGACTCCATTGTCACCTGTGCTGATGAGCTCTGCATGGTCACCTGTGCTGATCAGCTCGCTACGCTGGCAAACAGGAAATGAAATTCAAAAGTTCGCGGGGCTTTTCCTCTCTACCAGGCCAGTGCATCTGAGTTGAGAACGCTGTCCAGAGCGGTCACAATGGAGTACTCTGGGATAGCTCCCAGAGGCCAATACCATCAAATTGCATCCACACTACCCCAAATTCGACCCAGCAGGGTCAATTTCAGCGCTAATCCCCTCGTCGGGTAGGAGTACAGAAATCGATTTTAAGAGCCCTTTAAGTCGACAAAAATGGCTTCGTCGTGTGGATGGTGCTGGGTTAAATCAATCTAACGCTTCTAAATTCGACCTAAACTCGTAGTGTAGACCAGGGCTAAGACTCAAATCAGAAGGCAGAAGAAAATTAATGATGTTTTTGTTTTTTTTAATCTGACTCGTTTTCTCTGAAGTCTTGGGGACAGTAATACTAATATCTACTGGGCTGCTCTTCCTTTCTCAGCTCTGCTTCTAGAACAGACATTTTCCCATGTCTTCTCTGGACCCTAAGAACACTGTTAGGGATTGATCTCTTGGCTTTGGCTATCCCAGGTACTATCTGTGTCTGTCTATCAAACCTTGCTATTTGGTCTTCCTCAACAGCTTTGAACAACTTAAATGTATATGTATTAGAACTGTTCTGGTTCTTTTAAAGTATTTTGTTCTAAATCCATTTGCTGACTGATTGTTCATAACTATAAAAATGTTATCTTTATAAAACAAGCCATATACGAATGGATCTCATTAAAAGATCTGAGTATTAAGCAAAGTTAAAATAAAATCAGTCTGGTAAACTTAGGTATACATATGGGGACAACTGTCCCAAAATGGAACTACCTTAACAGTATGTTCAAAATTTCTTTTTGGCTGGATCGGAGTCCTTGCTTAATGATGGATTGCTTTTGGAACTTCTTAGCCAAATATAGATTGGTTCTGGGGTTATTGAACTAAATAGCTTTGAATCGGGTTTATTCTGTAAATCATATAAGGGATCTAATCAAGTCAAGTTTGATGACTTTGTTATTTATATACAGTAACTTAGCATGTGAAAAGGTTCACAAGAAATTCCAGTTTGTATTATATGTTGTAATATTTGATGCATATGCTTTAAAACATAATCTTTTTATATTTAGTACAAAAAAGAGCATATGAAATGCTCAGAGCTCAGTCTTAATTCTGTACTTCCTAACTTTTGAGTGCATGGTTTCTCAACCATAATATTAATATTAGTCTCTCTCTTTTTGTATTAATATTATACGCACATGTCTGATGTATTTATTTTGCAAAACACTTTTGAATGAAATGTACTATATAAATATAAAGTTATCTGATTATCACCATATATTTTGTATTTTTCCACTGATCTTTTAACTGTTGTTGATCACTTGGTTAGCCTCTATATTGATTTTGTTTCAATAAACATAAACTTTGAAATTAAAATATTCCTCTAGCACTATGGCAGTTTCTTGTCAAGGCTTTAGCAAAATGGGTTGTCTGTGTTTCTCATGCCCACTGGGGAGCAGATTTTTTTTCTCTCTCCTCTTGGGTTATCAACAAGGATTCATTGGTGAAATTCCTGAAGGCCAAGCAGGAAGCCACACAATGTCACAAAAAGTCCTGTGCTACCTTATGGACTAACAGAAGAATTGGAGCATAAGCTTTCGTGGGTGAATACCCACTTCGTCAGACACATGACGAAGTGGGTATTCACCCACGAAAGCTTATGCTGCAATACATCTGTTAGTCTATAAGGTGCCACAGGACTCTTCGTCGCTTTTTACAGATCCAGACTAACATGGTTACCCCTCTGATACTTGACAATGTCACAAAGTTACACAGATCAAGGTAAACAATCTTCTAATACAGGGGTGGGCAACCGCTGGTACATGTGCCGAAGGCGGCACCCGAGCTGATTTTCATTGGCACTCTCATTGCCCGGGTCCTGGCCACTGGTCCGGGGGGCTCTGCATTTTAATTTAATTTTAAATGAAGCTTCTTAAACATTTCTAAAACCTTATTTACTTTACATACTACAATAGTTTAGTTATATATTGTAGACTTATAGAAGGAGACCTTCTAAAAATGTTAAAATGTATTACTGGCACGCAAAACCTTAAATTAGAGTGAATAAATGAAGACTCGGCACACCACTTCTGAAAGGTTGCCGACCCCTGTTCTAATATGTTTACCAACAGAAAAAACGTGGAAAGTGTGACAGGCTTGCTAGGTGATCTTGAACAACTTATTTATCCTATGTTTCCCCATCTGTACAATGATACTAAGCTATCTCCCTACATCATAGGTCTGTTGTGAGAATTATTTAGCAAACCTTTGTAAAGAGCTTTAAATCTCAGTCTGGAGAGACATGTGAGTGCTCAGTATTAAGTACTGCAAGAGAGCCGAATTTTAGTGGGGCATTTCACTACAGCCAACCACAAGTGTTTAAAAAAATATCATAAGTACCCAAAAAATCATGAGATTTAAAAAAAAATTGCTTTTTTAATTGACATTCTCATTTCTGAGCTTTTAGGGTGCACTCAGGTCATATGTTGAATCTTTTCTTTGCAACCACGAAAGCAAGAAGCATTTTCTAATGGAAAGCTGTGATTCCCACAATTACTTGTCTTCAGCAGCTGGGACTTTAAATGAAATCTCAAATATTATGAGACTCCTGATACAATCAGGATGGTTGATAACAAGACTGCCCACAGGTGGGGAGGGATGAGTGAGTGGGGATAGCTACAGCTCCCAATTTTTTTTTATTTTTAAATAATGGGCTTTTGGGAAATGTCAGGTGGTGACATTGGGAGGCAGAAGTGATGCTATTTCCATATTGGGCTGGGACTTCTGCATCTGGGAGGGAGGGTTAGCTGGAGCCCACCCTCCTAGAGTGGGGTGTGTGCATATGGAGGTGACTGGGGGGGGGGGGAGCTGAAGGGTGAAGAAAGATTTTGCTGTGTGTTTCGATGAGGCACTTAAACCCTCCCTCGTTTACTTTGTCCCCTCACACTCACCCAGGCCCTGCCTGGAGCGCTGGGTAAGGAAGACAGGCTGAGACTCTGTTGCCACCAACACCGCCTCAGGTGCTCTCAGGGAGCAGGAGAAGAGCCTCTAACGGTTACTCCCGCCCGCACGCGCTCCCACTCCCGGGCCGCCTAAGGATCCAACCCAAACAAGCCGGCGCTGAAGAGAATCAGCCAATCAGAAACCGCAGAAAGTAGCTGACTGACAGGCGAGCCTACCCAATGGGAGGCATCTTAAGAGAAGGGCAGGACCATCGTTGAGGAGGGTGAACGGCACCGCCCGCTGGGAGGATCGCGGGGGCGCGGCTAAACCGCACGGGGGGCGTGGTTTGAAGGGACGTGGGCGTGGCCTTTGCTTGGCGATGGGCGTGGCCTAGTGGACCCTATTTAAACGTGCTGCTCCCAACCTCAGCCGCTGAGTCGGCGCGGAGCCGTTGCAGGTGTTGTGGCCTCGGCGGAGGCCGCTTTGGATAACGGTTGTGCGCGCGGGTTCCTCATCCCGTGGCTGTCCCCTTCCTCCGCAGCAGGGGCGGGCTTCTGCGGTTCGGCGGGTGGGGGAGGCGGGGTCCCCCCTCTTGTAGGGCGGGCGTGTGGGTCTGTGGTACCCGTTGGATGCGCTCCCGGAGCCCCGGGCAGGAGGGGGCCGGAGGGAAGCGTCGCCTCGCCGCTGCCTAAGAGGATTTACTACGTCTCGGACTCCGCCTGGCGCCGGTGCCGCCGCCGCCGCCCCCTGCCGTGTGTGCAGGTCCCCCCGGCGCGCGGGAAGCGGAGATGGACGAGAAGTACCTGCCTGAGCTGATGGCGGAGAAGGACTCGCTGGACCCGTCCTTCACCCATGCGCTGCGGCTGGTGAACCAAGGTGGGCGACCCCGGGGCAGGGGTGCTGGAGGGGGGACCCCCGAGGCGTGGGAAGGGGTGGCCCTTAGTTGGGGACCGGGGCTCGCTGGGTCCCTGAGGCGCGGGCTGAGTTCCGGCGGGGCTGCCTGGTCCTGCTCCTCTCGGCGGCTGGCAGCCAGGTGCGGAGCCTGGTCTCTCCGGCTCCTTCGCTCCCCGCACGGGCTGCCTGCCAGGGGCACCGGCTACTGCTCCGCGGCTGCCAGGTGAAAGTTACTCCGGGGGGCAAGCGCCGCTCGCTCTCTGGGGTTTGGCGGCTGGGTCGCTGTCGCCCCGCGAGACACGGTCCCCAGCGGGCGTGGCGTGCACCGGAGAGAGGGTGGCTGGTGCCTTGGCACATCGCACCCCGGGGGACGCGGTGGGAGGAGACGCACCTGCC